GTACCCAGGAGATTATCTTCTCTGCAGTTTGACCTAGAGTGTCTTTTAAAAGGACTTCTCTTTGCTGAGTTTCTCAAAGTTGATATTAAATATTCAATTAAAGTAGAACTCAGTGAGAGTATCTTTATCTACACTTTGCCATTAGTTTTGAATCTTGAGACATAACTTCAATTCTAATATTAATCAACATAATTATTCAGTAATTCATGACAGTGTCTCTCATAGGGTAATTGTACGGGTTGGGAAGCCAGAGGTAAATGTGAGAGCTTTTCTGCCCTTTCCTCTGCTTCAGGAGTTGATGTAGGAAAAAAAAAAAGACTACATATAAAGCATTGGTATTATTTAACTCATTTGATAGTAACTTTTCCTTCTTGGAGGATGAACGTAGATTAGGAAAATGGTTTTAAATTTTGGAGGCATTCTTGGAGAATAAGGTAGAGAACAACATGAGAAATTTTTATTTCTACTCAATTGAGGAGTAAATTCAAAGAAGTGCCACCAATGTCCTTGTGTATCATGTCAACAGTGCCAAGTGTCTGTTGTATTGAGAACTTCAGTATCAGCATGCAGAAACACTCCTGAACACTGGGGGGGGGGGGGGGGGGGGGGGGGCTAGTGTGTGAGAAGTATAGCGGCGAGCTGTTGGCCTTGGGATGGATGCTGCAAAGTGGGTGAATGGAATGAATACCTCTACTCAGGTCAGCATTCCCTGAGAGCAAGTCACAGTGATGTTCTTGTCGTGGTTGGGGACAGAGGCAGTGACTGACTGAAGGTAAAGAGGGACGTGGGCAATTTTGACCAAATGGCAGTTCATTGGATGTGTAGAAAGGGACATTAAAAAAGAAATATCTAGAAAACTAGAGGATATAGACAAATAAACAAGTGAACATGTGCCATGAAGAGATAAAGAAAGAAGGTTGAGGGAAACCAGGGATAGTCAGTAGAGAAGGGATCTTGTTGTAAAATTATGTTCATTGGAGAATCGGCTGAATTGCCTGGGAAAAAAGTGCCTTGTAAGTTAGGTGAATTGTAATCTCTTACGAAGTTTTGTACAGCTTGTGCCTGTTGGGCCAGAGCCAGATGTTTCCAGATGGCCATGAGAACCAGCAGGCCCCTTGACAACTCAGTCCAGAGTCTAAAACAAATGGAAAATGAAAGGTATGGCTCCTTATGCGTTCAGACTGTGGCATCCGTTATCAAGCATTTTGCTGATGCTGTGGCTGCTTTTCCTATCACAGAAGCTATTTTCCTTAAGATGAGAAGAGGTCTTATTGATAAATCACTTTGCCTGATATTACTATACTATTTAGATGACAAACTAACACTGCAGGAAATGAAATAAAATAGGCCCAGAGAGAATTTTATAGTAATTTCCAACTCTTATGTGTCATATAGAGTCATCAATTTCTGAACAAACTTATGATTTAAGATATATACATCAATATGCATATCTGTATATAAAATAAGGGCTGGGATGGGAGTAAAAGACAGAATACTGTAGTTGAAAAATAATTAAATTTTAAAAATTAAAAAAAAAGAAACCACCACAAAATTTACCTAGGAAGGTTTTAACAACAAAAGGACATTTTTGTGTACCTGAAAAATAAGCATAGTCAAACACATTAAAGGTTATTTTCAACTTCTGTACTCAGTCAAAGACGAAAGTATAAACATGAATAAGAGGCAGGAATGTCACCTTTGCTTTATGTGAAAGTGTGAAATAAAGGTAAAGAATCAAATTCAGTTTCCTGACATACCGGATACCATTCTATAGAAGACTGGTAATAAAGGAGATTTCAATTGACAGATTACACAGATGTAACCTAGAAATCCCAGAAAACTTGTATTAGAAAGGCAGAAATTGCTTGAAGATTAGTAAATATTTAAATGGAAATGAGAATATTTGAAATGGGAAGATTAGTAAATATTTAATGTTTACACTCAAACAAATAGCCAATCTTGCTTTCCTTTTTTTTTATATCATATAATAGTTGCTAAAATTACTGCCTATTACTTATTCATTGTCTGCAAATTGATTACTAGAATCTGTATATATTCTAGCAGGGCTCTAATTTATTAAGTAAATTTATTTTTACATACTTCATAATTATAGAGCAAATTTATTTTTATGAAAGAAGTAAAATGTAATAAGATAATATTGGTCCTATCCTTTAAAGGGGGTTAATTAATTTAAAAGGATATTTAGTATTAGGCTCCGGGTTATTAGATTATGTTCATGGATAACTGATTTCTATTTCTTAAACTGAAATGACTCTTGACATTAAAAAATATCAGCAATTTATTGACTCAGAGCTATGTGGCTGACTTGAAAAGGAGGCCTTCAACACTGTGGATCACTTCTATAGGGCACTGCAGGGAATCAGTTTGGACAAAGTGAGCAAGGGACATAAAGGAAAGAATAAACAAACGGGATCTCATCAAAAGAAAAAGCTTCTGCATGGCTAAAGAAAATAGTATTAAAATAAAAAGACAACCAACTGTATGGGAAAACATGTTTGCCAATGATACCTCAGACAAGGGTTTAATCTCCAAAATATACAAAGAACTTACACGACTCCACTCTAAGAAGACAAATAACCCAATTAAAAAAATGGGAAAAGGACTCAAACAGACACTTCTCCAAGGAGGACATACAGAGGATCCAGAGACACATGAAAAGATGCTCAATATTACTAGCTATCAGAGAGATGCAAATTAAAACCGCAATGAGATGCCACCTTACACCAGTCAGAATGGCCATCATAAACAAAGCAATGAATAACAAATGTTGGAGAGGTTGTGGGGAAAAGGGGTCCCTAGTTCACTGTTGGTGGGAATGCAGACTGGTACAACCATTATGGAAAACAGTATCGAATTTTCTAAGAAAATGAAAAATGGGCCTGCCTTATGACCCAGCAATTCCATTGCTGGGACTATATCCTAAGAATCCTAAAACAATTTCAAAGAACCTATGCACCCCAATGTTCATAGCAGCACAATTTACAATAGCCAAGAACTGGAAGCAACCTAGGTGCCCGTCAGTAAATGAATGGATCAAAAAATTGTGGTACATATACACAATGGAATTCTATGCAGCAGAGAGAAAGAAGGAGCTCCTACCCTTTGCAACAGCTTGGATGGAACTGGAAAGCATTATGCTGAGTGAAATAAGCCAGGCAGTGAAAGACAAATACCATATAATCCAACCATTAACAGGAAGCTAAACAACAAAACAAACAAGCAAGCAAAATAAAAACAATGACACTGACATCGAGAACAGGGGGACAGCAACCCTGGGGAGAGGGGAGGGGAAGGAATTTCATGGAAAAAAGGGGAAGGATTTACAGGAACTAGTATAAAGGAAGGACACATGGACAACAACTAAGGAGGGTGGAAATGGGAGGGAGGTGGGGGGCACAGGGGGGTGGGCTGGATGGGAGTAAAAGACAGAATACTGTAGTTAAAAAATAATTAAATAATTAAATTTTTTAAAAAAGTACTCCCTACTTCTCAGAGAGATATGTTCAAATTCGTGTTATGAAAATTATTTTGAACATTGTGAGGAACAGAATGGAAGGAGCACAACTGGATGAAGGAGGAGAGTTTGGCTGGTATTCCTGTAACCTGAGTGAGAAGAGTGGGACTGTCCATCAGTTAAGAACATGGCCTCTGAATCCAGGTGGCCTGGGTTGGAACACAGCATCACTCCCTGCCCAGCTCGGAGAGCTTGGGTACATCTTAGTTGCTCTGTGTGTCAATTTTCCCATCAGTAATTTAGGAATAATGAGTTCCCACCTCAAGGGTTATCATCAGAGACAAATGAGCTAATGCACCAGAGAACATGCTAGGCACAAAGCAAGCACAATGCAAATACATGTGATAGTGAACTAGGATGATTAGAGTAGAAATAGGAATGGACCACGTTTGAGTACATTTGGTTATTAGAAGGAGCAATACTTAGGGATGGTCTGACTCCAGGAAGTGGGGAAGGTGGTGTCATAGGCCATTCACTGAAATACCAATAGTATTACAGGATAAGTGGTCATGTGAACAACGGGGACTTTCATATTTAAGCGAATACATATATATTTTTAAGAACAATGGTCCTAAGCTGAAATATGTTGCTAATATAATATTCTTTGTTCTGTATGGGGTAGAACATTTGGAATAACTTAAGTCCATGGCAAAGATAAAAACTAAGTGTTCTGAACTTCACTTAATTGCTACTCGACTGAGTGACACCGGGTGAGAGGCAGGTTTCCTTCGGGTGACAGGACTATGGGTGGTGAGCCTCGTATCCATTTTCTCCTAAAGAAGTTTGGCTCATCAGTAGAACTCTTCGTAAGCACACTGACCTTCTAGAATAAACACATCACTAACACAATAAAGCCTTCTGAAAGAATCAATATTATAGGGAATGAGCCGTTGTGAATGTGTATAAACCCCAGGTAACTGGTTTGTTCTTATAACTAATGATTACTTGTACTCTTTTTTTAATGGGATGGTCCTAAAATATGTTTATACTCACATCGTTTGTTAAAAAATAATGTAGATATTTTCATAAGCCTAGAATTATTATTCAAATGCTATATAATTATTTGAATTTCTTTTTTTAAGATTTTATTTATTTATCTTTAGAGGGGAAGGGAAGGAGAGAGGGAGAAATATCAATGTGTGGTTGCCTCCCATGCGTCTCCTGCTGGGAGCTGGCCTGCAACCCAGGCATGTGCCCTGACTGGGGATCAAACCCATTGATCCTCTTGTTTGCAGGCCTGTGCTCAGTCCACTGAGCTACACCAGCCAGGGCTTAATTCTTTGAATTTCTTAAGAGTGCTAAGTAAATAAGTGCTCATGTAGTTCCTGGATCATTGATATAAACTCTATGTTTCTTTAGATTTGTTATTTTGTATTTTGTATAAAAGGGCATTATGTTTCAAGCAAATCAATGATTGTACACAGATTACAATGATTTATCCTTTCTGTTTTCCCTCTTCTTCTAGTCTGCTCCCAGTTTTCGAGAGGAGTCTATGCTATTTTTGGATTTTATGACAAGAAGTCTGTAAACACCATCACATCGTTTTGTGGGACGCTCCATGTGTCCTTCATCACGCCCAGCTTCCCAACTGATGGCACGCACCCCTTCGTCATTCAAATGAGACCTGACCTCAAAGGAGCCCTTCTTAGCTTGATTGAATACTATCAGTGGGACAAGTTTGCGTACCTCTATGACAGTGACAGAGGTAGGTGAAAACTTCTCTATCTCTTGATATTGGTTCAAATCCAGTGCCTACACTTGGCACTCGTATCTGATGTCAGAGAGCTCCATAGTCCAAGAGCTGCATTAAAGTCCAAGAGCTGCATGGTTTAATTTTGTTGTGTAAATAAAAAATACAGTTTGAAACCTGGGTAACATATTTAGAGAGAAAACAAAACAATTGTGAATGTACGATTTACAGATATAGACTGTGTCAGCCCAATGCCTAGCTGTAACATAGGAAGCCCCTCTGGCATCAGCAGTGAAGGCTCCACGGTGACTGGATTACCAGCTCAAGGTCAGTAAAGTGGATGCCTTGAAAATTGACTTCAGTGAAATTTGAATTCACACATAAATAAGAACTTCTACAGAAACTCATAGATATTAAATATTTCCACATAGAAAAGTTTTACCAGGCAGGTCTAATTATTATTAACCTTGCTTTAAAATGAGGTCACTGAACCTCAGAGAAGTTAAAGGACTTGCTCGTGATCCTCCCACCTGGTGTCCCGCTGAACCAGACCTGTGGTTTTTTCACAATTCTATCTGATTGTTTATGATGAGATGTTCTTGACTATCCTGTCAATTGGGTAGGTATTGGCTAATTACACAACTTCTGGAGGGGGGTGGTTCTTCCCTGTGTTTTTCACGTCTGTTGTTGAGAAGTTCACTACTAGCAGAAATTTAGTATTTACGTGTTATAGAATCCCAGATGGCTTAACCATTCCTGGGTCCACAATTTAGCTTCAGTGGGTCTGTATACTTCCTAAAATCATATGAACATTCTACAGAATGTTCATTTATGTAATTTTTAGAAATAGTAACCATAATAACCAAACTGGAAAGGGTTAAGAAGCATCGCTGTATGAGTACCTAAGCGCTCTTCTTCAGCAGCTTGCTCCCTAAAATATTTAAAGGTTCAAATGAAAAGCAGCAGCCTGTTTTGACCAAGATGGGATACCCTGTTAACTGGCAAGGGCAGACAAGAAGGGAGCCAGCTCTCCGTCAATTCTCCATTGATCACTTTGTCGTCATCTGCGGCAGGGGGCCTGAGTCAGGAGTGCTCGGGCTAGGTGTCTGGTTCTCTGCCCCGTCCTCCCAGCCCTGACGATGAGAACACAAAGTGGAAAAATGAGTCAGCACTATAGAAGCGGAAAAGTTTGCCTTGTCAACAGCTTTCTTCCTGGACTTTGAGAAGGGAGAGCTTTGTTCTTCCCATGGGAAATGGAAAACTAAAAGACAGAACTATTTAATGTGAATACAGAATGCAACGTGCTGGATAATCCCCAACCACACTTTTTATTAGTGTGATATAAGGGCTTTTAAGACTGAGCCCAATCCTGGCCTTTCCTCTTGCTCTCTGCAGATTCCTCAAGGACCCTGTTATGTTGACAAAACTAGCCTGACATTGGTAGTTTTCCCAGTTCCTCCTTCACTTTTGCATCCTTTGATGTGATTTCCTCCAAAACATATTTTATCTCTAGACGCTGTTCTTTTTCATTGTTGTGACTCCAGACCAGGCCACTGTCTGGAGTCATAACAGTGAAACACATAACACTGTTATGTGTTCGTTCTCCTGTCTCTCCATTTCCACACTTGTTTTTTTCCTAATTCAGCTCCACAAAATAGCCAGAATTTTAAAATGCTTTTAAATGCCTCTCTGACCACATCGCCCCTTGCTTAAAACACTTCAGTGACTTTAAGATCTTGTAGTACCTGGTTCCTGACAATTTACCCTACTGTCCCGCCCACTCACTCTCTAAGCCAAATCCATCTAACTTTCTTTTGCTTCTCAGATGCACCAGACTCTTTCACCTCAAATCTCTGCACATATCTCTAATTCTTTCTCCTTCTTCATGTCTGTTTATATAGCATTTATACAGAGATGCATTTCATACTGTTATTCTCCTTCAAAGCAATCTCTTCTTTTCCTACATAGTGCTTATTATAATTCATAATTAATAATGATGTTTATTCTTTGACCCAAGAAGTGCTATTAATCTTCTACTATGTTCCGGGGACTGTTCTATTCACACAGGCTAAGCATTATGCTTTTTCTGTAAGATCTGGCTCAAAGCCCCAGGAAGGCGATGCCCAGGCAGCACACAGGACACTGGTATACACTTCCTAACTGTGCACACAGTGCTTACGGTAATGCTGGCACAGAGTTGATATCCAATCAATAGTGGTAATGAAGGAATGAGCTTAGCCTCTGTGTATTTTTGGTTTGAGATGATATTAGAACCAGAATCTTGCCTGCTAAATCAAAGGATCTGAAGATGAAGTCCCTTTATTGTTTCACAAAGTTGAAGGTGACATTTTTACATTAGGGACATACTTTGTCCTCGCTGTGCCCTTTAGTTGAAACAGAACTTTTGAGAGAATTTAAATAGACAACAGCTGACATAAATAGAAAAAGAGAAACTCTAGTATTTGAGGAGAGAGACCAAAGAAAGCTCTGGGAAATGATCTGGTAAGATGTATGAATTTATAATATGTAATTGTGAAAAGAACCTGAGGCATTTAAAGTGATTTTGTTAATACTTTAGAATTATTAAATGAAATTTGGTGAGATAATCTCCAGTCATTGTATTACACAAATTGATTTGAGTTCAAGTGCATTGTTGAGAGAACATTAGAATTATAATAAAAATGACCTACCTGGGGATACATTTTCAAGTTTTTATCAAATAGCTGCTCATGTTTTAATATGAAGAGTATTACGCTGGCCTTTCATCTGAAACTATTTTTAGAGATAAGTGCGGAAGTCTGAAAACAGTGGCTTAAGATTTGACCTTCATGTAGTATTTTACCTGACCCGTGGAAATGGGATTTTTTGCTATGCGATTTTTTCTTATCATTATCTTAATTTTAGCTTTGCCATTGAAATTCACTTATAAAAGTTTATTTAGGCACTCATCACATCTTTCCTTTGGTCCCTAAGCCATTTGTTTTACACGGCAGGGGGGGCACCTTCTCATCTCAATGTTGCGTGATGGACAAGGCATCTACCTGTGTTCCCTGTATTCATAGTACGTACACTTTCAAAAATAGATTCCATGATTCCACCTCTCAGCTCCCATCCCTAAGGGCTGCAGTTTCAACTGATTTGGTCTGTTCTCCACTTCTGGAATTATATGGGTTTTTTTTTACATTTCTTTTCATTGTTGAATAACTTTTACTTTTCTGAGAGTCTAAACTGATCTTCTTTTGAACAGTTGAAAATGTTCAAAAGAAGCCCAGCATGAAAATGGCTCTCCAACATTCTTTCCTGAATATGAATTAGATGAAAAATACTTAAAATGTTTCTGTTTCTTTGTTGCGCTGCTCTTAATAATTAGTCTTTTCCTGCATCCAACTATTCATCCAAGTGCTGAGCCACAGGTCCAGGAGAGTGCATCCAGTTGTAAACAAAACAGGACAAAGATGTCTGCTAATCTTTCTACAGATCATCTTTGACTCTCTCAAGTTCACTGGTGAGAGAAGGGCTGCAACTGTTCATTAGGTGCCCTGTGACCTTTTAGGATGGCTGGTGTCTTCTCATTATCCAAGCCAAGTGGCAGTGGCCCGGGAATACTTCATGACCCAGTGCTCTTTCCAAAAGAGCATGTTATTCCTCTATAGCGAGTTAGTAGATCAATCTCCAATACATTTTGAATGGTAGAGTAATGGGGTTACCTATGTTAATGCTTTAAATATAGAATTATCTTTTTGAATAATTCTGTGCACATGTACAAATTCAAATGAGGACTTAATCAAAATGTGTCTTTTATTTATCAGTTTAATGTTAGTAAGATCAGGTAGTACACTTCTATAGACAGTAGGTAAAACCAGAACCAATGGTTTATGTGTTCATGTCTCAGTTTTGACTTTGAGCCACACTCTTTTCTTAAAAGGAAACACTTTGATTCCAGTTCCAAGAAGACATCATGCACAGAATAAAAATTCTTCCATATGATAATTTTTTCAGATGTTCCTGGGAATGTAAATGAGGGAAATATATGTTAATCTAATCTGGCCTAGGCATACTGCCATGATTTAGTGATCATGAATATTAACTTCTGTGCCTGAAAGATGAATAAGGCAGTGAATTTTAAACGGAACAAAGAAAATATTTTTAAGAAGAAAGACATGGTCTGAATGAAATATACCTATCTGCAGTGATCATTTTTTAATTCTACCCATTAATGTCCAAACCAAGACATTTGGACTGCATCTGTTTTTAGGCTGATGGATTTTCTATAAAACCTCTCACAGTTGTATTAACACTAGCTCAAAATGAGACCGAAATAATGCTACCAATACTTCCAGAGAGTTTTATGGATATTAAAATAGGTTCTACAGCTATAACTATTCTAGTAAAAATTAGGAACCTGGGGAGGTAATGCAGTTCAACGATACTTTAGCAACTGTGTATTTTACCCAAATGTCTGAGAACTTACAGGTTACTTTTAAACCATTGTAATATTCTTGAGGTTGTTTTAGAACATACTTTAAATGCAATTATTAGGAGGAATAGTGGATTTTCTGGATTTTTTTCTATTATACATAAGCAACTGTGCATTTTAAGGTTTCTTTGTTCTAAGTAAGTCAGTACTAAGAAATCAGTAATAATCACTCAAATATCTTGATACAGTAGTACAAACATTAGTGACGAATGATCAATACCTGCCATTAGCTTTAAATAAGCCAAATGTTCATGAAGAACTCCCATAGTCCATGCATGTTTACATTCTGGATTAAGGGATGAACTGTATTTACAAAGATGCTTCTGTGCCAGTGAGTGTGAAAGAGAAAGAAATGTCTGTCTACTAATACTTACTCCCCTAATTAGAATGTGGCACCAGGACCCCAAGATCATGAGTTCATGTTATATTTTAAGAATTTCCTCTTACCCTAATAGTTATAACATGCATTTTCAGTGATTTTGAAAATTTAAAATGATCTGATCATTTTAAAGTCATAGGACAGTTAAAAAAAAACTTAGTTATGGGGAATGAGGAGATCAAGCTCAGAGTTTGAGAGGGTTAGCTCCTATTACAGAAAAGAAGAAAAGGAAGACTATGGATTACTCAACATGAGCCAGCAGTCTCTTCAAACTGTGAGTCAGATCAACTCGCAGTTTGTGACGTATGCCCGCAGTCCTTGGGACATGATTTACTATTATTTAGTTTCTTCTGACAAAACTAAATTCACAAAGTCTGATATACACTGAGCAGTTTAGCTTCTCAATAGATGGATGTTACTTTTTTTCAGTTTCACAGGTTACAAAATATCAATTCTGAGAGTTTTAACAACAGAACTCACACCAACTGAGTTATTTTGACACAGAATAAATGAGTCTGAAACTCAGCCATTTCTTTAAATGAATTCTTATTGATTTTATACATCATTTTCTCTGACAAGATGAGCTGCCAATAAATATTAGGTTTAGAAATATCACTTGATAAAACCCATTTACAAATAGTCATTTATATTTAAAATTCTTGTAACATATATTGAAAGATAGGACAGAATGTCAAGAACATCACCACTTGAAACTGATTTTAGTGTGTGGTAAACTTCATAATTAAATAACAAAGAAATAAAATAGTTTATTGTCTGGAAGAAAGGAAACCGACATGTAAATGTGACACTGTATGGAGAGCACACAGAACATCAGCCACGTCCATAACAATTTTAAGGAAGTGACAAGAAAATGCTGCATAGTGAATAGAATGTGGAAAAGGAAAACCTAGACAGTAGGAGAGGGTTAGAAAATTAGCTTCTCTTCCTACTTGGAAAGAGAACTGGATAAACTTAATAACTGTTTTCAAGCACATATATAGCTGTTGAATTGATAGACCAGCTGCGTGTTCTATCTTCACTGATGAAAAACAAGAAAAGGATTTGAACTGTGTCATGGAAAGATTTATTACTTACAGCAAATCACAGGTGATCTGTGACGTTTGCAAAAGATGTTTTTATCACTAACAGGTTTTTTTTTTACAATGGCATGTTATCTCTGTTTAAATTTTCCCTTTGAGAAATCCTTCCTTATATTTTTTGTTACAAAACTGGATAGAGGAAACCGATTTTGTTTTTTTACCAAAAAAAAAATCACTTTAAATTCAGTTTATAGTTCAACTCCAAATTGAAATAAAAGTAATTTGTTTTAAATGTTCTCTATGACATATTGTAAATAACAAAATAGAGAGGATAATATAAATGACCCCCAAGGGCTGTTAACTCAGCTTTATTAATGACAAAAATATGAGGAATTCTGTTTTATTTATCTCTGTCTGCCCTTCACAGTTATTTTGAAGCAAATATCTAAGATTATGTCATTTTACCTGTAAATATTTCAGTGTATATTTTGAAAAAAGCAATCCTCTTGTTTTAAACATAACCTCAATATTATCATATATATAAGCAACAATAATTTATTAATATCTTCATCCACTTTTTCACACTCTGCTTGAATCAGGATAAATGTAAGGTCCATATATTATAATTGGTTAAGATATCTTTTAAGGTTCTTATAATGTAATGCAGAGTTATTCACTGTTTGAATTTTGATGATTACAACATTATGGTTTTAGCATATTACTCTTTGCTATATATTTCTTATAAATTTGTCATTTTGGCCTGGCTGGGAGGCTTATTTGGTTAGAGACTCCTCCTGTATGCTAAAAGGTTGTAGATTTGATTCCCGGTTAGGGTTCATACCTAGGTTGTAGGTTCAATCTCTGGGCAGGACATGTATGGGAAAAAACTGACCAATGTTTCTCTCACATTGATGTTCTCTCTCTCTCTCTCTCTCTCTCAAATCAATAGACATATCCTCAAATGAGGATTAAAAATAAATAAATTTGTACTTTCATCAAGAAGCTTGATGAGATTCCGGTTTACCTTTCTGATGTGAATTCTTCCTAGATGGGGTAGAATATTCTCAGTAGAAGACACATAACTTTAAGTTGTCTCCCTTTGTGCTGTTAGCATTGGTTATCATTGCTGCCTTGATGCATTAGTTCACTAGGTGCTACAAGGTGCTTATAATTCTAAATCTATATTCATACATCATGTATTAGCTGGACTCTTTTCAAAGAGAAAACGCCCTTAATTAATTATTATTCTGAGTGTATTTCATATAGGAGAAACAAGAATACGTTTGTCTCCCTTGCTTCATTTACCAGTTTTTAATATAATAACTTGGCCCTTTAGTGTCCTTCATTGGCACCAACTGTTTAAAAGAAAAATATTATTACAAATTATGGATTTAAAGTATGTTTTGTATTTAAGTCTTTTGCAGTTATTATTGTTCAAACTGCCTTATCTTTATTTGAAGTGATTCTCACCAAACTGACTCCTGAGTCTTTTAACAGAGTGCTGATAGTTTTGAAGAGCTTCCTTGATTTCCAGTACAACAAAATGTTCTAGGCCCATCTTATATACTCACAGCCAATATAGGATCAATATCACTCTTCATGATATATGTCAGGTTCAACAAGTTTTTGACAACATTTAGAATACACATGTTTTTGCCATAATAAATAGATCTAAATAAATTTAGTACATGAATGAAGCTTATAGAGCAGTGTGATCACACTAGGTAAATCCCACATTTTTAAGGTAAAAAGGGATCAATATTCTTTTGAGAAAGATGCAGGTCCCTGGAGAATCAGAAAGATGATGTTATGAGTCCTGAATTCTTGTTGGAGCCTTGATTCTGTGTTGTTCACAAGCTATCCATAGGACAGACAGATTTGAGTTAGCTGTGAAGATCTGAAGTCATGTGGAAGACAGTGTATGTACTGCTTTTCTAAGTGCTAAACCACAGATTTAATTTAAGGAAATAAATTCCAAGTTGTTTTCCCTCTAAATTCTACATATGTAACATATGTAATGTGTGGATAATTATAAATAAAAATAAAACTGTTTAAATTAGGTACTATAAGCATAGTTAGTAATTAATAGTAAAATGTACTCACATTTGGGAAGTTAAGTAAATGTAACAAATTGTGCTAGAAAACTAACTCCTACCATCTGATTAGTAGGTGAACACGTTCATTTCTATGGGATCAGTCCCAATAACAAAACTGATACAACAGAAGGCTGAGGGGGGAAAAAACTTCTGAGTAGAAAAATAGGAGGAAATAGAGATTACTGGCTATTAGATTCAAATAGACCCACATAGATTCATCTCACTGTACTCAACCTCTGTTACTATGATAGGATAGACTATCATTTATAAGGAACACGCGCTTTCAATCCATAGGAGAAAGAAATGTTTGTAATGTCTTTTGATTTCACTTGAACCAGAGATATTAAACACAAATACCATATGATCTAACTTGGAGGAATCAAATGAACAAAATAAACTAATGAGCAAAACAGAACCAGAGACATGGAAACAGAGAGCAGACTGACAGGGACCGGAGGAAAACGAGGGAGGGAAAAATGATGGGAAGAAGAGGAAGGAAGTAAAAAAAGAACATGTATGAATGGGCCACGGACATGGATAATGGGGCCAGGATGGACTGTGGGGGTGGGGAGTGGGCTGGTCAGAGGAGGGCAAAGGGGAAAAGTTGGGACAACCCTAACAGAATAAACAAGAATAAAAAATAAATAAATACAATTTTAAAAATATATTATGCTGCTCTGGCTGGTGTAGCTCAGTGGATTGAGCATGGGCCTGCAAACCAAAAGATTGTGGTTCAATTCCTAGTCAGGGCACATGCCTGGGTTGCAGGCCAGTTCCCAGCAGGGGACGCGTGAGAGGCAACCACACATTGATATTCTCTCTCTCTCTCTCCTTCCCTTCCCCTCTAAAGATGAATAAATAAAATCTTTAAAAAAAAGATATTATGCCTTGGTAATACCCAAAAGATATTGAGAGAGTTAGAAAAAGGGGATGCAATTCCCTCATAAACTACAACTCTTCAGTCAGAACAATAGCGTTTACATGAAATTTGATGTAAAATGGAAATAAGTAAATGTTGATCAAGATCATAGCCGTAGCTTTTGAGAAAAGTCAACATCAAATTATTTGCGCAAAGATATCAGCCTTAAAAATATATTCCATCCTAGCCAGGTAGTTCAGCTGGGTGAGTGTCCATAGGATACACCAAGGTTGGGAGGTTTGATCCTGGTCAGGGCACACACAAGAGTCCACCAAAGAACGCATATATAAGTGAAGCAACAAATCAACGTTTCTCTGTCTCTCTCTTCCTTTCCTTCTCTAAAGTGAGTAAATTATATATATATATATATATATTTATTTATTTATTTATTTATTTATATTTATATATATATAATTGCTGCAAATTTTACAACACAATTCTGAGTATCTTCACTATTTGAGTATCTTTATCAGGCATCATTTTTCCTTGCCTTCCCAGGCCTATCGACACTGCAAGCTGTGCTTGATTCCGCAGCTGAAAAGAAATGGCAAGTGACTGCTATCAATGTGGGCAACATTAACAATGACAAGAAAGATGAGACCTACCGATCACTTTTTCAAGATCTGGAGTTAAAAAAGGAACGGCGCGTCATCCTGGATTGTGAACGCGACAAAGTCAACGACATTGTAGACCAGGTTTGCTATTCCCTGTTTTCTGATGGCACTAAATATAGGCTATACGTGCACTGTCAGCATTTGGTGTAGGTATTTGTGCAACGTGCTTGAACAGCGGTTTTTACTTTGTGGTTTATTTAGGATGCAGCAAAGATCATCAATTAAATGATCTCTGGCTTCAGTTAGCAATAACAGATGGTTTTCAATAATGCTGACATATCAAGACTAATCATGAAATATAGTTGATATATAATTCCTAACTCACATTTTATACATGTGTTGCCCTAAACTTTCATATTTTTCATTGGAAATCCAATGTTAATTGAGTTGAACTTCTTAGAGATAAAGAAAAAGACGTGAATTGAGTGAAAATAAGTCTGCGTCCCAAGGGAAAAGTGAATAATTCATGAATTTTGAGGTGATACAATGGATTACTGCAAACACTAGGGCTATACTGTTGTCTAATGGGTTTATGCCTTCAGAAGAAGCATGTACTTATTTTTCCAAGAAGTAATTTTTTGTCTTATTTTGTAGATTTTATGTCACTCTCAAACTGTTAATCCATGAGACTGAAACATGTAGGAAAGACACATTCAGTCTGTGTTCACTGTTTGAGAAGTAAGGTAGATAGAGGCATTTGGAATGTTTTAAAGAGTAAGATGATGCCAGCACTAAGGATGCTTTATCTGTTCTTACTAGACCACCTTGCTTCAGTTTAAGGTCTTTTAGGGTAGACAGTAAGTAATATATTATGATAAAATAAAATTTACTCTGTTTATAGATAGGGTAAGTGACCACGGTGGTAGTAAAGCAACATCATGACTTACTAAAATCTCCTTCACTGGGTATCTGCTTTTATCTCTAGCTTATGTGTGTATAATTTGTAAATGCTTTTGATGGTTATAACATAGTTGATATATAATATATTACACATACATATATATATATACATAATATAGTTGATATATAGTACACATATATGTATATTCACACATTGCACTAGTAGCCACAATAACATATATATACATATATGTGTGTGTGTGTATATATACTGCTAGTTCCTTGGAATAATATACAATTGGAAGAAAAACACAATTATGTATGCATGTGTTAGACTTTCTAGGCTCCAAGTAGAAAATTAGATTCACTAATTTGTATAACACAAAGCATTTTGCAAGTATAAATGTGGATGAAGCTCTAATCACACATAACAAATGGATCTCTCACAAGATATTGAATAACTGAATAATGTTATTTTCCTATATGACAGAACTAAATGATGTATACCAGAAAGGTGAACATTTCAGTAGAAAAATCTTGATATCTGTCACAGGAGATGAATTGGGGTTGTTTTTAACCTGAAGGTCTTTTGTTCAAATGTGAACCTCGACAACTTATTTGAATTTCATAGGAGATTCTCATTTAAACTGAATTAGACATTAGTCTTTGGTTTAAAAAATTAAGTATTCATGAGTTATTATAATAAATGTTGGGAAAGCATGTATGAAAATAATTCTTTCCAAAATTAGAAAAGAGAAATTACAAGAGAAATGGGGAATATATGGAATGTAATGTTCAGAAGCAATGTGATCATGATTAAATACATAACCATTTTCACATTTACTCAGAAGGTACAGAGTATTTTGTACACATATATTATTTGTATTTTCATAAGACACTCTTGAATGCATCCAATGAGTGTATACAATGGAGGTGACATTATTCAACAAACATTTACTGAGGACATCCTCTGTGTCTGGAATGAGTGATACAAAGAAGGTAAAAAAGACTGGTGTCTCCGCCCCGTGAATTCACTGTTTAGAAAAGAAGAAAATACACATATATAAGGCTACAACATTACCAGTGATGGTCAATGTGGTCCAAAGCCATAGAGGAGGAAGTACCTATCTTAATATGGTCAGGATGATCTATGAAGAGTTCATATATGGGTAGCATTTGGCTGGTTTGGATTCACTCATTTATTAGTTCAATTTCCCTGAGTGTCTAATGTTTACATACAGGCACTGGAGTAGATCCAAGAGAGTAATAAGCAAATCGGGCAAGGCCCATCAAGGTGAATATTCATGATGTATTTATAGAAATTCATGTGTAATTATGATAATGGCATATACTATGAATGAAAAGGACAGGCTGTTATTTTTCTAAATTACACAAAGAGATCATTTGGATTGGGAGATCATGGAAGGCCTTCAAGGAATAGAGTTAACCAGGCAAAACATAGAGTCAAAGTACATTTCAAAGAAAGGAAACACTATTCGCTTACTCTATCAGTACTTAGGAGAGAGCAGAGATGTGACAAAACTCTATCTCTATAGTTGTGTACTGTTAGTAATAGAATTAAATTTTGTTAGACTATGAGAATTTCATCATTGAACGAAACCTGAAGGCACTTATTTCTAGTGATATTGAAGTAGAAAACAAACTCAGCCATGAAAAACATGAAGAAGTTAACATAAATTTCTATTGTTAGTACAATATTAATGGTCATTATAAAGCAAAGGCTATGATTGTTTGTATGGCCAACACTAAATCTAAAAATAAGGCTAATAAATTTTCATATCCCTCCTATCAATGAATGCTGAACTCCAGTAGGGATTACTGGTGGAACTATTTATACTATGTTTTTCCTTAATTCCCAGAAGGAAGACATTCATGATTCAAAAAGTAGATTGAACAGGAAACAGCACTAATAGATGTCTGTAGGAAATATGAGGGACATAATCAACTCAATTCAGCTGATGCTAATTAATGTACTTTTTCATTCAGAAGGATATCTTATCTTCAAAAGTCTCCCTTCAATACAGAGGGTTCATTTTCTTGGAAAAGGCAATTTAGCTGTGTTACATAAAAACAGGTTAGAAAACAATATAAATCCTAACTTTCTTCCAAAGAGCTACCGTTTAATATCACAGTGGCATACGGTAGAATACTTCCTAGGATTTTGCCTTTGCTCTTTAATTAAATGCATTGCTTTGGAGCACCTGACTTTGCCTGGGATGAGGGAAAGTCTGGGAAGTCTTCTTCTGGGAGGTTACATTGGGCCGAGATTCATGGCACCTTAAGATTGAATAAGACAAATAATATAATAGTGACGAGAGCTTTGCATGTAGAGGAAACAATGTATAAAGCCCCCAAGGGATGAAAAGAAACCTTTCTGTGTATATGCAAAAATACTAAGAAGGCCTGAAGACTCCACAGTAGGAAGGGGGAAAGTTGGGGCTGGAAAGCGTGAAAAACCATTAAACTTTGTAGCACATGGAGGATTTGGACTTGTTATGCTAAAAGCAATGGGGAGCTGCCAAAACTGCAATCAAGGTAGGGAGGGGGGTAATTGTTGGAATTTTTGTCTGTAGCCCTGACATTTCCTGCTTTCCATCAGTGTGACTGTTTTCTTACAAATAAAAATTGCATTTGAATATCTAAGCGTCAGGACGGCAACACAATCATTTTATCATTTACTCTCTTCATAATTTATGTAGATCAGTGAAAAGTCAAATTGATTCAGTGATGTCTGAAACTGTTTGAGCATTACCAAAATGACCACTTGTCCTACAATGCATTTATTTTGCCTTTGATTTTTGACTTAGATTTGTGGGGAAATATTAGATACTTCTCTGATACTTTGCTTCCTCAAGCTAGAAATGATAATGTTTATTACAACTAAATGATAAACACTTCAAGACTCTTAAGATAGGAGTGTTATTTTATAGCTCCATAAAAGAAATCATTTATACCCTTATTAATATTCTTTTTAAGTATAGGTATGGCTATAAACTCTGTTTATCTTTGAATATAGATGTGTGAGTATGAAACCTCATGCATGTTTGTTTCAGCTGTTTAATGTTTCATTTCAAAAAAAAAGCATAGCTTTGTAGTAACAAAATTATGACATGGTCTAATTGGTTTTTGATTTTACATTTCTTTAAATCTTGTGGACTTATTTTTGCTATTTTTGTTCAGTTATTGACTTGGAAAGAGAACGGGTATTAGGCACTAAAAGGTATTGTCACTTTTTTTCTGAGAGAAATATTGTCTAGGTTTGATCACTGTATTTCATCAAATATGAGTCATTGTGAAACATCAAAAACACGGATGTTAATATTTTGTTTTTTGTCAGGTCATAACATTAGTAATTTTACATATATATTAGTAACAGTTATGACATGATTATTTCTTTATCTTTGTTAGGTCATCACCATTGGAAAACATGTTAAAGGGTACCATTACATCATTGCCAATCTGGTAGGTGAATTAATTAATATTCATTGTTTTCATGAAGACTCTTACTAGTTAAAAATTTTTGAACAGACAGCATTTATCAGTGGTATTTATAAAAATATATTTTGATTATATTGTTTGATTAGCAGTGGCAATATATTTCTGAATTTATGTTTAGATTACTTCCTACTTTATATTTTCTATTCAATTCCCTGTAGTATAAGTGATATAAAAGTTATAGGACAATATTTGACAAGCTTTCTAAGTTGTCTTAGAAGATATATTTTACTACGGGAAATTTTTGAAAAATATATAAAATTTAACTGTCAAATTTCCTTTTGCTTCTCACTGTAACTGTATTTTATAAATGTTATTCTTTGCCTATTCCTTTGAAGTTTTAGAACATGCAATATTTGAAACAAATTCAAATTTGTACAAATCACTGGTAAAAATTAAATCTGGAAATCCCCAAATATGAATCCCCAAATATGAATACACTACACATTATTTATTTATTATTTACTACTACTATATAAGCAACACCATGAAAAATGGACTTGTATAGCTGATCACCTTTTCATTAGGGTTCCTATCAAAGATTGCACTGAGTGTCTCAGTGGTTAATAGTGTCTCCCTAAGTGTACAGAATCAGTCTTGAATCATTAGGTATTTATTTTATCTAAATAACTTTTAGACCAGCAATAAAATCAGCTTAAATCTTTCCTGTTACAAAGGTTTGTGTTCTCTATATAAGTATGATTTTGTGTGATTGAGGACTCACGCCTCCCCATGCTCAGATAAAAAGGTGAGAAAAAGTGGGGCAGAGGGAGAGAATGAGAGATTATTCTAAATAGTGTAATAGGAATGAGAAAAAGTTTAATATTTATACAAGTGCAGATTTATTACATGATTTCTGGAAAATCAGACTGTTATATCAGACAACATTTCTGTTAATGATGAAAAGAGGTAAGAAAAAATAAACTACAACCTTACAATTAATACATATTATTTTCACTGGAAGGTGGCAACTGTTGTTTAGAATATTAAATCTCCATGCTGTTGGGAGAAACCGATTATTCAAGATAAATGTTTGTTTTGCAATGCAGTGGCTACCTACCATAAAAATGGGTCCGAACTGACCCTTATACTGTGATGTTCCAGGCACTAAGTCACTCCCTACCAGGGAAGCAGGAGTTAAAGCCGACTAGCTCTGTACTCATTCTCCTTGGAGCCAGAGTCTGTGCAGGAAGAAGCCTGCACAGTCAGTCCCTGTGTGGACCATGCCATTGGATGAACAGCACAGAGCCACACTGAAAGCTGCGATCTTTAAAAAAAGTCCAGATGGAGAAGATTATATTGGAACATTGAGAAATAATGACAGAAGGTGGCTCATCAATTTGAGAGCTGATAGCTAATGCTATATGAAAAAGGAAAGAAGTGTTTGAGTGACCAATATAAAAAGAATTTTTAAGTGAAGAAAGAAAAAGCAAGTTCAGGCTGCTATGATGCTTCTAGAGAGAAATCTACCTAATATTTTCTCTGAACTCGTTTGTTTTTGGTTTTGTTTTTAATCCAAACACTTGGTATCCTCACCATATGGAATTTCTTATGAATCAGTAAATTCAAAGAATCTGCAGTGAGCTTCAATTTCTGAGAATTTAGACAACACTTGAAAATTTTAACGACATTTGAAATTAAAGAATGCCTTCGCATTTGAAGGGATTCCATCTTCCAGACTCTTGACCGGGCAGCCCCCTTTCCCAGTGCAGTGTCTGCTGAGTGTTAAAGTGCATGGTTGTACAAGAGAAAAATCCTCAGACTTTTGCTTAGTTGCACAGGAATTGCTGAAGCCTTGATTGGGCCCCCAAACCACAGGCTGTGATTAAGGTCCTGATATAGCATTTAAAAGGGTAACTTGGGCATAAAGTGATGAAGATGTGACCGTAAGGGGTCCACTTTGCATTTCTTCAACTCTCCAAATACCCTTCCCACCTACCTACCTCACAGGAAAGCACGCTGATTGAGTGAGCCTCTCTCACGCACACAGAGATTTCAAGTCTTACTACTAAATAGCTGAGCACACCCAGGTATTTGAGAAAAAGCCTTTGCTGTGGAGGATGCAATACAAACAGGCAAACAAGAGAAGCAGGATCATGACAAAAATGTTTCCAATTGTAATGAATACCTGCAGAGAAATAAGAGAAAATATACTATCTATTGAAAAAAAGACAAAAGATGCTGTGGAAAAGAAAAAAATCGAGAATGAGAAAGAACTCTGGGAAGTTAACATTGTTTCTAAATGGCAAGTAAAATTAAATGACTTGGAGGATAAAGTTGAGAAAATCTTCCAGATTAGGTAACAAAATAACAATATAATTAAAAAGGGTGTGTGTATAGGAAACTATAAGGGATTTAGATGTTTAATCTAAGGATTACAATGTCTGAATAAGAGCATTTAGAAGGATGGAGTAATGAAAGCAGAGGGAGGAAATTATCAAAAAAATATTAGAAAGAATTCTGTTTAATGAATGACGAATACCTGCCTGTTGAATACACACAATATTTTTTAAAAATCATCATGCAATTTCAGAGAAGAAGAGAAAATTTGAAAGATTTTTTATTGGTGGGAGGAAGGCAATAGTTTGAAGCCGGTAACACACAAAAAATAATTAGAAATAATGAAATTAATAAAATTGTGTTTTTCAGTAGAAACAATGAAAGTAGGTGGAACAATCCTTCAGATTAAGGTTTCAACTTAAAATTCAATGCCCAGCCAAAAGGCTAATCAAATGTTACAGAAAAATTAAGGTATTTTTAGACATTCAACATCTCAAAACAATGTACTTCCAGTGTGTCTCAGGAAACTATTGACTCTAGCAGAGGAATTGAGTAAAAGATGACAGAAAAGTGATCAGGGAAACAGGGAACTACTCAAAAAAGCAGTGAAGGAACCCGAGGCTCACAGCTGCAGAGCAGAGGGAAAGAGGAACCGATTTAGATGGTAACATCGAGGAAATCTCCTGGAAATGAGATACATGGGCACCAGGGGAGGGGGGAGAAGGGAACTAAATGGTAATGGAAAAATGTAACAAAGATTATCTAGTAAAGAATAAAATAAAAATAGAATAGATTGTCTGATATGTTATTTAAAAAAAGCTTTACTCATCATATAAACAAGACAAGTTTTCATGGATCATCTGGAAAAAAATGAAGATAGGTATATAGAGAGCCTCGGTAGTGATAAAATGCAGTGATTACTAACTTTAGGATGAACTATTATTCAAGAAGGAAAATGTAATCCTGGAACACTATCCGGCTTTGCTCTGAAAAGCAGAATTATAAATAGGAAAATAGTGAACATTAAAGTGGGTGAAGAAATAAATGATGTGGTAAAGTCAAGGAAATACATACTCATCCGGCATAAGCAGAAATGGAACAAAAATATCCAAATGGATAAATTAAGAAATATGCAGAAATAAAGAGGTCAACACACAAAAACAAATATTGAAGTTGATCATTTTGAAGCAGCTTAACTGGAGCAGGAGCACAGCAGAGCATGGAATCTATGATTTTTGTGATGCATCTTTTTGTATTTTTTGCATTATTTGATAAAAAGAAAAACCAAAATCATGACCTAATAACAAAGCAATTATTTTCCTCCACATAAATAATATTATAATATATACTTTAATGTCAACAACAAAGAAAAGTTTCTCCTATATTTTGGATTCAGGTTATATTCAATCCTCATGCACTCTAATGAGGAATGAGCATGTAAGGTGAAAATGTTTATAATTGTGACTTACTAACTTCATGATTTCATCTTTGAGACAATGCACCCTTAAAAAGAGATACAATTTATTATAGCACAGGATTTGAAATCATTGGAAACACCATATGATATTTTTAATAATGACTGAAGTCATTCTAATAATGCAAGAGAAACTGACTTTTAATTTTAATATATTTTAACAAAAAAATTAAATATCCTGCTTAATGAGATATTGTTTAATTGTTCTAGAAAAAAAGACTAGGCATTGCATAACTTCATTCTCATTTAAAAGACGCTTAGAACACCTGAGAGAATAAACAATTTAAGTGATAGGAAAAATTTGCTCACAGTGTTAGAGTTCTTGGAAAAGTAACATGTTACTCAGTATCTGTAACCACTTGGTGGTGCTTTGTGGTAGATGTAATAAATAAAACCCAGTCCTTATCCAGGAAAGATTTCTCAATGGAGGACTTTTATGTTCATAAAACCAATACACAATCATTGATTAAGAACCCTATGATGCTGAGAGGATACTAGGTACTGGTGAAGAATTTTGGCTGGTGAATACCCAGAACTTTTGTTATAGCATTTTTATCTCTGCTTATGTTCTTTGAAATTTGTAAAACCACAAGGCATAGACTTACTGGTAATTGTCAAGTTCTATTTGACATAAATGTGTTCTCTGTCTAGGGATTTACTGATGGAGACCTGTTAAAAATTCAGTTTGGAGGTGCAAACGTCTCTGGATTTCAGATAGTGGACTATGATGATTCCCTTGTGTCTAAGTTCATAGAAAGATGGTCAACACTGGAAGAAAAGGAATACCCGGGAGCACACACAACTACAATTAAGGTATGGGACCATCTGCCAGTATCTACATCTACATTGAAATCTAACTGCTGGCAAAGAGGCTGTTCTCTAGGACACTTTAGGAGGGAGATAAAAATCTTGATTTGTTATAATAATTAAAAAGTAAATACAGTGCTTCATCCAATCAGACGAAGAGTCTCTGAATGCTAAGTGCAATGCACTGCTCCAGTGTATTGTCCAGACTGATGTTTTATTTTCCATGGGTTTGGACACATTGAGGTCTTCACTTGTTTATGTGGTGTATTTTATTGTATATGCACATATGTGCACAGATTTAACTCCAAATATTAAGTACTTCTGTTGTCGATAGGAAGCTATTTTTCTGCTAGTGGTCACCTTAGTGAGAGTGGAGAGAAGAGTAAAATCTAGCAAAGTGTGGGACATGGAGTGAATGGAATATGATGATGCTCATTCTTTATAAAACTAAGGAAATTTAAAAGCAAAAGTTGAAAAACACTTTCAAATGTGTAGGGATGTCATGTGTTTATGGATTATAAAGCAGATTCTATATGAACCAGTCAGGGACAATGTTATTTCAGTTGCTCTCACAGTCAGTTATGTTTCTACATCACAGAAAATTTTTGTGTTGTTTTTTTGTACATAATGGAAAAAAACTGATATTGATATTTGGCTTTAAATTTGTGCCCATCTGTGAGACTGGTTCTAGATAGGGATTCGAAGTTTTGAGTTCTTGACTTTTGGATGCATAAATAAGTCCTATTAATAACAAGTCAAATTTGGAAAAGCATCCCCCCATAGAATGTTAACGAATAACCCAGAGTTAATTTCTTCTCAAAACTAGGTGACTTCCTGTTTGGTGACTTTGATTGAGATTCAGCATGCATACTGTTTATAACAGTATTGTCGGCCTGTGGGACAACTGTCACCCAGCAGGCCAATGGACACCTAGCTTTCCAGGTGGTATTAGCGTCTCCACCTGCGCTCAGTGGAGCTCAGACTGCCGACCCAGTTCTGTGGAACTGCAAGCTCCCATCTATCAAGGATGGTGCCATTTAAGTTCTCTGATGAAGCGTGCATGTGGCATGCACCCTCAAATGGAACGAAAGTGCTCTCTTGAATACTCTAATGGTCATCTCGTTGCCTTCCTCTGCTGCCTGCTGGGAGAGAGCAAAACGAGATGATTGTTTTTCTCGTGGAGGTCCTGTCCTTATTGAAGTTCCTGTGTCCTGCATGAAAAAGGAAAGCGATTTGGGGGTAGGAGAGATCTTGGCAATGCACTCTTAACCTTTTTGCTAAAATCCAGCACCAGATTTCACTCTGTTGAGAGCCTGCCTGGTGACCTTTCTTCACTGTCTTCCTGCTGTAGCATTTCACTCCCGGGCCCTCCTGAGCCTCCCTGGTGGCTGCTCCTGACAAGTGTCAGAGAGACTGGGATGGCCCTTCTGTGTGGGGAGCAGCACAGAGCACAGGCTTCTAGGCTTGAAAACCTTGGCCCCAGTACAATGTTGGACATTTAGCTCAGGGTTCTCATCTCCACAAAGCAGTAGTGGCTGTTAATATCCAGGGTCACATGAAGATTAGAAATGTACGGCCTATTAACACAACTTTAGAAATCTAAGTGCCAATGGGAGATAATAGTATATATGGCTTTTTGAAGCTTGATCAAAATTACAGGACATCTGTGGGAGAATATGGCTTTGGGTGTGAGTTCATCCCAACACAGATATGAACACATTTTTGTTCACATACCACAGGACCAGAAACTGAGTGAATATGTGTGTGTGTGTATACACAGATATATTCATTCAGATGAATATATATTCAAATGTGTATATATACATATATGTGTATATTCATATATATACACACTTATATGTGTGCATGTATGTTTTTGTCTCTGTGTGTATATATATATATATATAGGACTTATTGATATATATATATCAATAGGATATATATATATATAATCAAAGGCAGGCTATATGATATACAGTCCTGCCTTTGATAATCCACAATTGAATGGAAGAGACAAAATGGCAATGAACAAATATAATAAATAATGACACATGAAAATATGCCAGCCTCCTGCATATGATTAGGCCAGAACAGGAAAGGCACACGTTAAGGAAGGCTCTCTGGAGGTGGGGTACCTGAGCAGGGCTTTGTGCATGGTTGAGCAGGAGGAAAAGCATGGGAGGTGCTTAGGGAAGCATCTACAACATAGAGACTAAAGTGAGGGAGCAGCAGGACAGATTCAGGGAGACTCAGCATGCGGCCCCTGCAAACTCTTCCTGCAACAGTCTTTTCATCTCAGTTGAGGGCAACTGCATTCTTTCAATGGTTATTTCGACCAAAAACCTGGAAATGCCCTTAACTCTATTTTCCTCCTAACCCACATCCAATTTGTCAGGAAACCCTATCAGCTCTGGGAGGGTCCTCACCACCTCTTCTGTGACACCCCCTAAATCCAACCATGATTGTCTCTCTGCCAGGACTATTGCAATGATCTCTTATACTGGTTTCCTTTCTTCCATACTTGCCCATCTATCTCCCATGTTTGTGGTCCTTTTAAAACATAAATTAGAATATGTCACTCTTCTGCTCCAAGCCCTTTAATGACTCTCTGTTTCATCTGAGGTAAGTGCCAAAGTCATCCCATTAGCCTTTACATGGCTCTAAACACACATGACCTTCTCTCTTGTCCCCCCAACCCCCACTCCCACCTTGCTCACTCTGCTTCAGCCACATGGACCTTTTTGCTCTTCCTTAAGCACAAAAGGCACCTTCCCACTTTATGGCCTTTGTGCTATTTCCTCTTCTGAATGATTCCCCCTTACATAAATCTCCATGGCTAAGCCTCCCACACTTTTTAGGTCTTTGTACAAATGCCATCTTCTCAAGGAAGCCAATAGCAGGCTCACTATTTAAAACTGCAATTTTCCCCCATCAGGGTGTGTCACCTTGCTCTTTCTCTGCTCTGTTTGGCGCCATTATTTCCTTTCAGTGTACTGTATTTATAATTAATCCATTCATTACATTGGAGCTGTCTCTCTTCCCTGAAAGTGAGTGCCATGGGAGCAGAAATCCTGTTCTTGTTGTTAGTTCACTGATGGATCCCCAGCTCCTAGAATAAGACCTGGAACATAATAGCTGTTTGATAAAGGCTTTCAGAATGAACAAAGAGAAGAAAGCAAAGGCACTGTGCTAGCTCCTATTAGCAGGGCCTAAGATCTGGAAGCAAAATGAGGCTTCTTAGAAGAAGCAATATGGAATTTGAAACCTGAAGGAGGTGTGGGAATTAGGAGAAAGAAGTGCCAATGGCTCTGCAGAGAGGAAATAAGATAAATAAAGTCCACAATATAAGGAGATACATGTATTTCCATGGGGCTGATGGTTGAACAGAGGTATTTGAAGGAATGTTCAGAACAAATACTTTACAAATCTGCGGGATCCAGATCTTGTGTGTCTGTGGGATTGTTTGTGTTATTCTGAGAGCAACAGGGAACTACTAGAGGATGGCTGATGATCATGGTTTCTATACCAGAAGGCTATTGTGCCTGTCCTGGTGACAGCAGATTGCAGGGAGAGCAGGTGATGACCGGAGAGCTTTTAATAAGATCCCACAAACACTCAGGCAACAGGTGAGCATGGTCTGAACTGTGACTGTGGCATGAGGGTGGCAGGAAATAAATGGGTTTGTTGCATTTGCCAGTTCTTTCGACCTCTTCATTTGTAAAATAAATCATAATCGCAAAAGCTACCCATTCATTTACAATGTATTGATAAAGTTCAGTTGAGAGATATTTGTGGTTTCAAAGAGGAATCTGAAAGGCAGTCTGCATCATTTGTATGTTATTGGCCTTGGGTCTCAAACAGTGGTTTGTACAGAGTCAGCACATAATAAACACCTGTTTCAGTGAAGAGGAATGGAATGAAAAATATAGACCCTTTGAAAGTATCCAATTGCTGAAAATCAAAAATTAGGCAATTATCACTGCTTATACCATTTGGTTTAAGCTTCTGTCCTAGTACTTGTTATCTTCTTTAATTCCATCATGGCAGACAAGCAGCATTCCTTACTTGAAGAAATGTAAAACCAGACCTGAACCATCAAGGCACCTGGATTTAAATGGCACCGTGAAAATGCACATTTTACCTTCCTTAAATTTTTTTTCAAAAAGAGGCAGATTATGATTGCCACTATCTCAAAAACAATTTATAAATATTTCAGTGTTTAGCTAGATCTCCGGTGGACTGACTTTTGCATGGCATTTAAATAATGGATTTCACACAAGAATCTCATTTGACTCCAGAAACGACTAAACACAGACTCACATTTTCTGAATTGCTGTCCTAAGAAAGTTATTAGACCCGTCTGAAAATAGCGCAATCTTTCGCAGTTGAGTAATTAGCATTGTGCATTAAACAGTACCCTGGTGGCCTGATAGAATTAATCCTGCTTCTTGAATGTTTTGACTGACCTGAACCACAGCTGACACATTGGAATCCCCTACTTTTGATATTAAAGCATGTTGCCCCATAAGAACCTGGAAGCTTGACACATTTATTTACATTTTGTGCTTTAATATGCGTATATGACTGAAATAAACCCAAATATTAATAAGTGGATATTGATAAAATTATATATTTTATAAAATAATTTGTAAAGTAAAAATAGTGTTCTTCAATTACAGTTTATTTTCAATATTGTTTTATACTGGTTTCAGGCATACAGCAAAGTGGTTAGATAGTCATACAGTTTACTAACTCTTCCCTCGATATTTCCATACCCACCTGGCACCATACATCGTTAACCCGATATCTCTGACTGTGTTCCCTATGCTGTATCGTACATCCCTGTGACGGTTTTGTGACTACCAATTTGTATTTATACATCATTTATCCACTTTCACCCAGTCCCCCAACCCCTCTCTTATGGCAAAGACCAGTCTGCTCTTAATTCTTAAAAACTGCTGTTATTTAAATATGTATGTATACATTACACCATGAAAAATTTAAAA